CCACAACGCCCGGCTATTTTTTGGTTGCAGCCATCATTGTTGTTTGGCAGGCCTGGGCTGGATTTGAACCTGCCAGCTCAGGTGTATGTGGCTGGCACCTTAGCCACTTGAGCCATAGGCACTGAGCCTGAAAATCTTCTTTATTAAAAAAAAAATCAGTTATTTTGTTGTAATGAAATGTAATATGAATGTAGTGCTCAAAAGGAAAAAAAATCATATCCTTAGCCCAGAAAATGAAATATAGTCGAGGCTTAGGCAATGATGTAACCCAGAAGAGTGAGGATGAATGAGTATATTTCACATGGCTCACACCAGTACTTCTACACTCTGGGAGGCCCAGGCAGGAGGAGCCCTTGAGGTCAGGAGTTCAAGACTAGCCTGAACAAGAATGAAAGCCCATCTCTACAAAAAAATGTATAAAAATTATCCTGGCATGGTGGCATTGCCTGTAGTCCCAGCTAAGAGATAAAGTGAGAGGAGAACAAAAGAGTTGCTGTTGGATTTGGCAACACAAAAATCAGTGGTGACCTTAGGAAGAGCAGATATCCAGCCCAGCTTTAAGGAGAGGAGGGAAGCTGGAGACTTATATCACTACTTAATAGAAAACTAATTCCAGATGGATCATCCTTGTCATGAAAGCATTAACATTTTAGAGGAAAACATGAAGACATTTTTATAACCCTGAAAAATAAAACCAATAAATTAGTAAAAGTATCTACAATACATATGCTAGATCAACAGATTAATTTTTGTAATAGTTTTTATGAAGCATTATGAAAAAAGAAAACAATCTATATTATAAAAATGAAGGGCTCAGAGAAAGAAATGAAGTCACTTGCAACTGTATGAAGAGATTCTTAATCTCACATATAAATGAAGAAATACGAAGTAAAGCATTTCACTATGTTTGAAACTAAAATATAAAATAAACAACAGCACAGATACTCTTTTTCACCAAGCCAAATGACAAAGAAGAATATCGGCAAAGGAATGGAAATTAGGCACTGCCGTATGTTGGTGACCAAAGTGTACACTGCAATCTCTCTGCAGGGCAATTTGACAATAATCAAAACTTAAAGCACCTTGGCTTTGATCCAACAATAGAAAAATTTTCCAACACTTCTGTTTGCATATGATTGTGTTTATTTACGTAAGAGACAGAGTCTCGCTCTGTCACCCAGACTGGAGTACAGTCCCATAATCATAGCTCCTCGGGTCACGTGATCCTTTCACCTTAGTCTCCCGAGACGACAGGCAAAAGCCATCACACCCAGTTAATTGTTTTATTTTTTTGTTAAGATATGGTCTAACTATGTCACCCAGGCTGGTATTGATCTCCTGGCCTCAAGCAATCTCCTCCTACCTTGACTTCCCAAAGTATGATTGCCAAGATTTAGATACAAAGATGTTCACGGCATCATTATTTCTGATAACAAGAGACAAACTAAATTTCCAATAGGAGATTGATTAAATAAAGTATGCAATGGATCAAAAATAACCAACATGAGTATTTCCAGCCTTCCCCTTTCATTGGCAGCTAGCCAGGTGAATTTTGTCATGGGTCAGCTTTCCCCTATCCCTCCATAAGGGAAATGTTCAATAGCTTTTAGAATTTTATAATGGCATCATTAGGAAAGCAGAGGGCAAAGAAAAATGCAAGGCTTTGTGGAAATCCAGGCAAGTTCAGGAATGTGAGGCAATATATAGAAAAGGAAAGGTAAAGTTATAAGGTATTCCTGGGACCACACAAACCCTTCATATGTACCAGAAATACAAGTACAGATAGTGAGTTAGTTTGAAATACCTGTGAATTGGTGATTTCATTGATTTTGATACTACTGTGAGTCCAGCTGCTGGAGTATCATAATACACAATAAAATTCTTTACAGTTATTCTAAGTAATGAAATAGAAAAGCATTTGGCAAAAGAAAAAAAGCAGAACGAAACCATATACAGTATATTTCCTCTTGTTTAAAAAGTCCATATATTCACATGCATTTATGTTTTCAACTATGTGGAAATTTTCTGGAGGATCTTTCTGCCCATTCATAAAGCTGCATGTCTAATAATTTCATTTGGCCTCTTGTTTTCTACTTTGTTATTCTGAAGTCAACACTGAATAGTGCTTATGAAGATAGCAGTAATGATATTCTTTCAACAAACAAACAAAGAAGTCTTTCTTAGCATCTCAACTTTTGGGGCTCAGAAAAGCAACACCCCTAAGTATGGGGCTTTGGCATGCTCAGTACTTTGAGCTAAAAGAGTTTGGAAGACCTCAGAACCCACCTTCATGAGAAAGTCTCTCTCTGATCTTCTCCTGTCCTCCTGTCTCTGGTGCCTTTTTTTTCCTGAGCAAAACATAGAAGCCAGAATTCCTCTTCCCCAGGGCAGGTCATAGAAACTAGAACCCATTTCCTCCAAAGCAAGCCATAAAACCTAGACATATCACCGTCACCTTCCCTTGTTGTTTGTGGGTAGGAGCTGGCCATACAGAAATTCTCTGACCTATTTTGTCTGGTAAGAGGTCAGAAGACCCTCATTCCAGAAGGGTCCTACCCAATACCTAGGTAGAAGGAGACACCTAGAATAATCTGAACAGATGGCCTTGCTGGGTTTCCTCCACCCAGTCTAAGACCATTAGCTCATCCAATCACATTTCTATTTCACTGTCCGTTCTTCACTGAATCTCAGCATAAAAATGGACAGTTATCCCTGGGTCTTTAGGTCATTTCTGAAGTTTCTTGCATCACACAAAACTTTGATTAAATAAATTTGTTATGCCTTTCTCTTGTCAACTTGCCTTTTGGTATAGGAGTATCCACAGTGACCCTTATGATAGGTGGGGGTATCACACCTTTCCACCCTACAGAATCATGTTAAAACAATTTTCATAGAAGGAAAAAGCACAACACAATGGGATATAGATTATCCATTGTGGTGAAATGATAAGTGATTTTTTTTTTTTTGTAGTTTTTGGCTGGGGCTGGGTTTGAACCCGCCATCTCCGGCATATGGGGCTGGTGCCCTACTCCTTTGGGCCACAGGCATCATCTATGATAAGTGATTTTTAAATTCTTGTCTTTCAACTTCTATGTATTGTCAATGTTTCTGCCATGAGTAGGATTACTTTGTTATCAGCAAACAAAAAAGTTCTCTTAGAAAGATGGTTCTTTATTTTAAAAATATTTCCTAGGCTTTTAGGCTTTGGTGAAGCTGTATGAGAGACTGAGAACCAGCAAAAAAAAAAAAGCTAAAAGATCTTTTGATTTTATTTTGGCAGATGGTGGACATTATTTGGGGGGACATCAAAATTTCTGTCCATCCCAGAAAGGTCTCATATAGTGTTTGAAATTGCTTTTACTCAAGTTAATTCTTTACTAAAGGTAGTCCCCCAACTCTAAAATTAGGGCTTCGCTAAAATTGGAAGGGTAACTAACCTAGCAAGATCCATTCCAAGAAATATCCTTATAGCAGTGGTTCTTGAACTTGAGTATGCAGGGGAAACACCTGGAGGTCTGTTTAAACTTCATATGGCTGGACCCACCCCTAGAGCTTCTGATTCAGAAGGTCTAGGGTGGAGCTGGAGAATTTGCAATTCTGTCAAGTGTGTCTTGTGCTGGAGATGTGTCTGTGCTGGACCACAGACTTCCTATGTTACCATCAACGAAGCCACTAGGAGCTGAATTCTAGGGAATAGGACAGCACACAGTTAGATGAGAACCAGGAGGCCCTCATGGATGATCTATGGCTGAAGGTTCAAAAGAAATTCCTATAGTTTCACCGCCAGGCAGGCAGGTGGGCTGAGGAGGTGAGGAGGCAAGACAGTAACTGAAACAGCTCTTTGTAGGGGAGGCTTGAGGTCATCACATCATGGACCCACCTGGGGCTGGGTTTGGACATCGCTACCAGACACATATTTAGCCTTTTCATTGTAAATTTGCTTCCACTGCTGGGGAAAAGATCCTTACATCCATTTTCTTGTTTTGTTTTTGCAGTTTTTGGCCAGGGCTGGGTTTGAACCCGCCACCTTCTGTATGGGGCCGGCTCACTACTCCTTTGAGCCACAGGCACCGCCTCCTTACATCCATTTTCTTAACTTCAAAATGGAAATGACTTATGCTTTTGCGTGGTCTAAAACATTTAAGGGAAAATGTTATCAGAAATACATAATACAATAAAAATAAGTTAGAAGTGTAAATGCATGGCTCAAAAATGAAGCTGTTTCTCCTTTACCTTTGTATTACTTGACTCCACTCAGAACTTAAAACCGATCCTCACCTAAAGATCAAACTTGGGAGCCTTCCCCTGTCCACAGGTTCACTGAGGTAGGCGCGACCCGGCCAGCAGGTGGTGCTGCTCCAGCGCCTTTCCCAACCCGGCTGAGCGCGCTAAACAAAAGCAGAGAGGCGACGAGACTCCCGGTTCGCCTCTGCGCTCCGCCCCCCGGGCTCCGCCTCTCGCGCTCCCGGGTCGCCACACTGTCAGGCCACTGCGCGTCACCAGAAAGTGCCTCGGCACGGATTCCTTTCGGGTGACTGGGCTTGGGAGGAGAAATTGCTCAATATTTATTGGGGCTAAAATAAACACACACATACTCCGCTGAGAACTAAGGTCTTAACCAACAGTCTCCTTTGCTAAAACCTTTTCGCTCACCCTCCCCAACCCAGGAGACAAAAAAGCGGGGAAAGCAAGTAAAGCATCAAAGCTACGTTTAGTACAACTCCAGAAATATCCTCCCAGGCCAGGGTGGATCCCAAGACTTCAGCAGCTTAGGTCCGGGAGACCCCATCCCCACGCTGCGCTCCCAGAACCGGACAGGCGGTGGAGAGCAACGCCCGGCGGTAACCCGCGGGTCGGACACTGCCCGGGGCCGGCCCCGCCCCCGATCCGACTAGGCCCCACCCCAGAACGGGCCCCCGGCGTCTCTGCAGTGGCTCCGCCCAGAAAGGGAGGGGCTGGCGACGCTGTCTTCCTTCCTGACCTGCGCGCGCAGCGCCTGCTCCCCGCCTGGCGTCCGGCGCGGCGTCCTGAAACAGCCTAGGGAAGTGAAGCCGCCGCTGGGAAGCAGAACGCGCCGGTCCGTCGCAGACTCCGCAGCATGAGTGCGCTCGGCCCGGCCCTCCGCATCCTGCTGCTGCTGCTCTGTCCAGCGCAGGTGAGCGGCCGCCGGCTACTCGGACGCTCTGTGGGGGACGCAGCGGGGCCGAGAGCCGGGGAGGATGACAGGTGGAGCAGCGGCTCTGGTAGCCTTGTCCCCGAGGGGCGCGGGGCCGGCGGGTCCTGGGGAAGTTGGTCTCGCTCTGGAGCCCCCAGAGGTTCCCTCGTCTCTCCTGTTTCTGTCTCCGGTCACGCTGTCTTCCCTGGGGTCTGGAAGAGGGTGGCCACTGGGCGCTGCCTGTTTGGCCTGTTCTGCGCTCATGTCAGAAGTAGTCACCTAATTTCTCTCGATTTAGGATGTGGGATCAGAAGGAAGGGGGAAAGTGGGTAGAGAGGGATAGGGGTATAACGTAAGACCCTGTTAATAAAAAATGGTTGAAGGCACATGAACCTTTGTAAATTTCGGAAGATCCCAGCACTTTATTTCCTCCTCATCCCTGAGGAAGGAGGTGAAATCAGAGGTAAAGAAAGGGAGCAGAATTCGTCAGGCACCAGGTGGGAGCTGTCCTGCGTACTTTACAGAAGTCAGCTTAATCTTCGAAAGAGTGCAAGCTCCATTCCTTTCATTCCTTTTTACATCTTAGAACCCTGGACCCACAGGGAGGTGCTGTCGTTGAATTTCCCCTTTCACAATTAGCCAGCGACCTACCAGATGGGGCCTGGAACTCCGTGTCTTGACTGCCCGGGTGGGCTTTTCCTCGGTTTAGTTCTTGAGTAAGAGCACCTCACTATTTGTGAGTCTGCAGTTTTCTCTTTCAAAGCTGGGGAGGGCGGTGTGTGTAAGGACGTGGGGCTTATTAAACCAAATCAGGATGGAAGAGTGAACCTCTGGGAACTCTGCACCCAATGGCTTTTCTCGTAGGTGTGTCAGTAGTGAGAAAGTAGCGAATCAGAGGGGCACATTGAGGGGCTCCATGGACTAGGAAAAAACTATTCTTCCAAGCCTTTGTAGTTCTTGGAGTGGGATAGGTAATGCTGATGGGGAAGCGGGTGGTGGCTTCCTCTGTGTGTGTGTGTGTGTGTGTGTGTATGTGTGTGTATTTGTTTGTGAGAGAGATCCCTAGCTGTGTGGGCTTCTGGAAGAGCGCTCATCTGGCGTTGGGAGGGGAGGCAGAGGAAAGCAGATTTCTGAAAGGCAGTTTGAGATGGGGTCAGCTGGTAGACCACTCCCTAGCTCTGAGAGTTTAGGTACTTTACTCTCAGCCTCAGTTTCTCCTAAAGATAAGTAATACCTCAAAGAGATAGTGGGGTTATTAAGTAAAATGGTGTATGAAGAGACCTCATCACTGTACCTAACATAGTAAAAATGCAGAAATAGTAGCAATTATGTGACTTAGAAAAAATACAGCTATTCACTTTCCCTGGAGTTTTACATCAGGACCTAATAGGTGGGCTTCACATTCTGATTAACTTTAACTTGTCTCTGAAATCCTTTTACCTCAGGGTGGTATTCAAGGCTGATGGCCAATAGGTACCTCTTCTAGGACACTGGGGATCAGTCAGAGGTTTCTTATGAATCTCTTGCAAAAATGCCTGGAAGCCTTTTAAAGATCTATAAATCCTAACTATTTCAAGAATTGCCTCTTTTCTGTCCAGAGGTTTTCAGTGCACCTGAGAGGATGGGTGGAGCCTTAAAGCCAAACAGATTGGAGTAGAAGCATATGCTTTTAGAATCCATACCAAGATAGCAGTTCATCTGGTTTCAACCAGAGCTGTAATAAAGTTCTGTCATAGAATTACACAGTAGCCGTCCTTTGTAAGGGAGGCCTGGGGAGATTTTTGCTTTTTAAAATTTTTATTCTTTGCACATGATGAAATAACATTACTAGACTGCTTGGTTTTTTAACCTTGTTGTCATCCAGATGTATGCAGTTTTGCGAATAGTGTGTATCTCACCTGGCTGTAATTTTTATAAACTTTAATCTTTTGACCTGGGAGTGATGAAGGATACCTATCTGAAATTGGAGTAACTGTGGATAATCTTTCCCCATCTCTCCTACTGCTTGATTGATACTGTGATCAGATATTTTACTAATGAAAGTGAAAAGGGGAAAAAGATTTTTTTTTTGTTTTTGTTTTAGCAAGTGGGCAGAGAGAAAAGGACTTGCTGAATAGGCCTTTGTATTCCTTCAGTGTTTGTTATATTACCCAGAACAAAGAATCTCTATGGTCATGAAGACAGTATTCTCTCTCTTTTCTGGGTAACCCTTCCTCACCCTGAGCTCCTGAAAGAGATGCAGTGTTTTAAGCATGACACAGTACCTGCTGTGGAAGCCTGGATTAGGCTGTCTTTAATCTGATCTCAGGTGCCTCTTTGCCCTTTCACCTACAGCTCTGAAGGGCATCAGTCCAGCCAAATTAAACTGCTTGTTAGGAAAACCCTGCCCACCTTCCAGGGCCACTGTTCACATGCTGCAATCTCTGTGACTTTGTTGCCCTGTTCCCCCAGCTAGAAGCCCTCCCTCGGAAGTTGTTTAAATGGTTGCACATCTCAGAGACTCTTCCTAACAAATGTAAACATTGTAACATAATTGTACTCTCACATTAATCTGAAGAAAAAAAAAATCGCTGCACATCCGATGCCCGGTAAAAAGACCTGAGTGTGGCTCTTGACTGCCTTTTCCCAAGAGCAATCTTGGGCACCAGTTATCCTCTGGAGCCTCAGTTTCCTCCTCTAAAATTGGGTTAACAGCTATGCATACTTCCCAGGGTGTTTATGGAAAAGATAGAGGAATATTTTTTAACTGAACTATCAGACTGCTCAAGAGCAAATACTGCCAAAACTCTTTAATCGCAGAATCTTTGGGCCTTGAAGCAGGCTTGGAGAAGGGATTTAGAGACTAGCAGCAATCAGAATTGGATTTGCAGTTGGTTTCTGGGTAATGGTGATGATCCACAGTGGCCAGCCAGGTTTTTCTTCGCCTGGACTATGCCTCTTATTTTCAGGTTTTGAAATATTTGCTTTGGCAGCAAAACTTTGAAACATCTGTGGTGCTTTTTTGTATGTTTCTGTAACTGTCCCTTTCTTAGGTCACAAGAGGAACTCAATAATTTCATAAATATGAAGTGAGTGCCCTGGGCACAGTGTCGGATACAAAGATCAAAAGAACTAATCCATTAAAAAAGCATTCCTAGCAGGGCACTGCGGTTGTGCCTTTATCCCAGCTAGGGGCTGATCGGAGAACTCCTTGAGGCCAGGAGTTTGAGTCCAGCCTGGACAACTTAGCAAGACCTTATTTCCCACTCCTACCCCCCCCCAAAGACAGCCTCATATACACTATGAAGTATTGTGTAAAAGTTTATAATTGTTATCCCTGTCTCCTTCATAGTTGATGGGGACTGGGGAAAATTTGGATATGTAAAAAATTATAGTGAGAAGTGCTTAAATAGGGATAAAAGTAAGAATTATAGGGAATTCTGGCTCGGTGCCTGTAGCACAGTGGTTATGGCACCAGCCACATGCACCGAGGGTGATGGGTTGGAATCTGGCCCGGGCCAGCTAAAACAATGATGACAATTGCAACAAAAAATATCCAGATTTTGTGGTGGGCACCTGTAGTCCCAGCTACTTGGGAGGCTGAGGGAAGAGAATTGCTTGAGCCCAAGAGGTTGAGGTTGCTGTGAGCTGTGATAACACGGCACTCTACTGAGAGCAATATAGTGAGACTTCTCTATAAAAAAAATAGGGAATTCCTTTTTTAGTGGACTTTGGAGGATGAATAAATGCATAGCCAGGACAAGAAGAAACCTAGAGAAAATGAGGAAACTTGCCTAATTGTTACTAAAACCCATTGAACTATACATTTGAAAAGAATGAATTTAATGATAGTAAGTTGCCCTGTCAAAGTTCTTAAAATTTGGCAGGGGGTGTTGTACTAGATTACAGAAGACTGAAGACAAAGACAGAAAAGCTATGGGTAAGTTTTGCATAGTTCTCCAGATATCTGGACTTATTATCCTCACAGAATCCCTTTGGGGTATAATGCTGTTTTCCCTGTTTTACATTCAGATGTGAATGTTAAGTTTGTCCCAAGGTCACACAGCTAGTAGATGGCAGATTAGGAGCTTTGAACTATTATCTTCTGAATCTGATTTCTGTGTTTTAGTTTATTCAAATTAAAAATACTGCTACTAGATTGATTATTCATGCTTAGCAAGCTTAATTGAGTGGGTGTTCAGTGAATGTTCCACCTAGCCAAAAAGGCGTCTCATTCAAGGCACATTCCTGTCCCCAGTGTGGCTTCTGCACTAGTCTGCAATAGATCAGGGATGGAGTTAGCCGGCTGGCCTGATCCATAAAATAGTTGCCACACTGTGTGAACATCCCCTAGGACAAAACCTGCAGACAGTGTGTCCTCACACACACTCTTGTAATTTTATTTTAGTCCTGTGGCTGCTAAATGTCTAACCAGTAGTATGACCATGGCAAGTCATGTAGAGAAACTGCAAGCTCCAGGGGTTATCTGTACAATGAAGACTTGCATTG